AGTGAGCGAGGCGGCAGAGGGCGCGTCGCGCTTCTGCTGCGTTCTGCCGGCAGTCGACCCGGGGCACGCTGACGCAGCCGACGCGAGCGCGCCAGCGCGCAGTGGCGGCGCGGGCCTTGCCGCGCGAGCGGCCTGGCTTGCATCTGGACAAGAAGGCCACGCATGCGCGTTCTTGTGGCTGTTGGCCAGGAAGCGCCCTCAGCTCCCGCGCGCGCCAATAGTTAGGCGCGTTGAGCCCCGCTGGGATCGCATTGACAGCTGCGGATAGCAATTGCTGTTTAGCACCAGGCGCGCCGCCCGCGACCAGGGGTCGAGGCGGCGGCGTTTTGCAGCGCATTTCGAGCTTGGCGTCTACAAATGGAGCTTGCGGCTGCCAGCGGCCGCCCGCTGCAGCGGGGCGGGCGCTCGGCCGGCAGCCGCCTCCGCGGGAGGTAGTAGGATGGAAGAGCAAGGCTGAACAAAAGCAGATTTGGGTGGATCTGGAGACCGCGCGGCGGCGCTGCCTCGCACTTCCTTCGCGTCGTGGTTGCCTTCGCACGCCCTCCTCCTCCTTTCGACCCCTCGTCCTGACTGTCCTCCTGGTCCTCCGCCCGGCGCCGCCCCTCGCCCTCGAGCTCGTCGCGTTTCCTGCGGCCTCGGGCCCTATCCAGCGGCGGCCGGCGCTCCGCGGCCCGTGGCGCGGCGGGAGCGGCCACTGAGTGGGCGGCGAATCCATGGACAGACATCCGCGTAGCGCACGGCGCGCGGCCGCGGCCGCGGGAGCGCCAGGGGCGCGCCCGCGCCTTGGCCAGGCAGAGCTGCGCGCAAACGCGCGCGCCGGCCCTGTCGCGGGGCGCCGCGGCCCGGCGCGCGGCCCCCCTCAGCGCGCCCGCCCACTGGCCCGGGGCGCAGCAGAGAGACCGCGCTCTCGGAACCGTGGACAGAAGGCGCCCAGGAGAGAGCCCGGGCGTAACACGACACATTGCACTTCGACGAAGACGACAAGAGGGAAGCAGGAAACCGACTGGCACATGCAGATCAACATGGAGACGAACGCGCAGGTCGAAGACGAAACGATCGAGTTAGTCAGCAGACATACACCAGGTCAAGCAAGACACAGGATAGACGCCTCAAAGAACTCAATGCGATACTCAATAGGACAGACTGCGTGCGCTGCGAAATATTTCGGCGAAGTTCACTGTTAATCACATCCGTCGGTCACAGACCAGCGCGCGTCATCCACGCGGCGACCATGTCATGATCGGCCATGCGTGGACTTGGCGGCCCAGCAAGCGACAGCGCGGCCGGTCGGAGAGGAGGCGGAGAGCTCCGTGGAGCTCGGCCCCTTGGACCGTCAGGCGCCGACACAACTACAGGCGCAGACCGCAAGCGGCGCGGGGCGACAGGGGGCGCCCTCGGCGAGGGGGCGCCAAGCCGTTGACTCGGCCAGCGAGACCTCAATGGAGGTATATCCGTCGAACGGCGGCCCAGCACGCGACTGCGCGGTGGACAAGTCAAGTGCCGGACCCGCAGCAGGTGCATGCCATGTGTAGATCGCGCCGAGCGGTGGATGCACAGCTGAGAAGCGGCGCGCAGCGCGGCAGCATTGCCCGCATTGGCTGGCATGCGCCTTAACTGTTCCTCTTCACTGAGGCGGCGATGTGGCTGAGTAGGTGGATTGAGGTAAAGACGCAGAAAAGACGTGCAATCTGGCAAACGCGCGCGCGGGCTGAGACCGCACGCCGGCTGGCCCGGCACGCGTCGCATAAGGTCTCTCTGCGAGCTGATTCCCACGCGAAATAGCCGACTGTCGCCTGAGCGCGGCATATAGAGAACCAGCATCGGCGCCAAGTGGTTAGATACGAGCTTGGCCATACTTAGGTGCGCTTGGTACGCCAGCACGCGCGCGCGCAGGCGCGCGACCGGGCGCAACGGCACCCCAGCGTGCGTAGCACAATGCGCTGTTGGGCACAAGCGTGGCACGCCGCTGCGTCTGCGCACGCTCCGGCGCACAGCTGAGCGCACTGACGCCAAGCGCGCGCCACAAGGCGCGCAGGCGCGCGGGCGACGCCTGAGTGCCAAGGCAGAGCACGCCGCGCTGGCGCAGCTGCATCACCAGGCATGGGCAATGCCGTGGGCGCGCTGAAAAGCACACGGGCGCGCATAGGTAGCGCGCACCGCGAAGCCTGCGCCGCCACGCACTGGCAACGCGCAGGCGTGCTCCCCAACGACGAGTCCTGGCTGGTAGGACGGTTGCCAAATTGCTGTGGCAGAGAGTGCACAGATTGCCGCGTGCTCGCGCGCGGAGACAGAATGGCACAAAGCAAAACATAAACGTGATCTTGCGGCTGGAACACACAACAAACATGTCAGCGTGCCTGAAGCTGCACGCGCTGCGCATCGTGCGTCCGAGCGCCAAGGCGCCCTGCATGCACTAGAGCGCGGTGCGCCAGGTCTTGTTGTCAAGTGAATGGCACAGCTCTGCCCCGGTTGCCTGCCAGTCGCACTCGATAATGCTACTCTGTCGAGTAAAGCAACGGGCGGCGGGCGGGTGGGGCCACTGCTGCGCGCGGCGCAGTGCACAGGCTGGGTCAATTACCTGTTCCTTGAGGAAGGGTGTGTGACAAGGCTGCCAGGCAGCACGCGGCACGACAGCAGTAGGTGCCAGCGACATGCCTGGACGCCTGCTTCTGGAAGAGTGAGTGCTGGCGTAGGTACTACTGGAGCCCCCGCCGAAGTCCGCGTCGAGAGAGAACCAGAAAAAGACGAACTACGGCAGCTCGGAGTGGCCGAACTGGCCGAAAAGGCTGATGAAACGAAGACCCCAAGTGAGCAGCGGTCGTGGCGTAGCCGACGTGCTGGCTGCATCTGGACGTAGGATATGCAGCACTCGCTGGATGCGTGCCTGGCCGGCTGCGGTCGACAATCGGCACAAGAGCATGCACTGGCGACATTAGATAGGTGACGAATGGATTGCTGCCCCCGATCGCCAAGATGGATACCCTCCTCGATAAGACCTCACCACGATGTGTGCTGCGTAAACGCCTTGCGGCCCGGGCCTGCGCAGGGACAAACAGCATGTTGAAGCAGGTGGCAGCCGTAGTAGTGCCGTTGCCGTTGGCTGATGCCGAAGGTGGTGAAATACTTACACGAGCGTTCAATGCTCCACTCGAGTGGTGCGACGCGCTCGCAAGGACAGCCAGCATTGTCGCACGCATCACGAGGCACGGCACTAGCCCAAGGAGGAACCTCGAAGTCATGCCCGACGCGCAACTGCGGCCAATGCCTGCGGGGTGCGATGGGTCGAGGAACTTCGCGGCGCTCCCGTGGGCGAGTCGCTCCACATCGCGGTAGCGCCTGCGGCTGCTGTTGCCCTGCGCAGCTGGACTGTCACGTCTCATACAGGACGGCGCTTGTCGTCATCGCACCCTGTGGGCGTCCAGGGCGAATTACCAGACGATTTGCAATACAGCCATAACCTCGTGGGACGGAAGGTGGTATACCAATGAAGAGATTGAGGAGAGTGCGAATGCGCGTCCACATCGCATTGTGCGCAGTCCCGTGGGTCGCAAGTTGGGATCGCTGCCAGCTCCGCTGCCAAGTAGAATTGCGGGTGGCAGTAGCGAAAGGCAAGAGGCATGGCGGCAATGGTAGCATGAGAGATAGCAGAGCGGTGGTCCTTTCCCTACAGTATCAGGTCGCTGGTCAGCTGTGAGCATTACGGCAGCGGACCCCTCCGATTCGAGTGAGGAGGAGGAGGAGGAGGAGGAGGAGGAGGAGGAGGAGTGAGGAGTGAACGCGGGGTGCTGTCTCCTCGAGACGAAGACCCAACACCACAAGATGGTTGGGAAAAAATGGCTCGGAATGAAAAGGCGGACTCCCGGGAAAGGGTCCAGACCTCTGGGGAGCCACGTTGTGAAAAGCACAACGTCGGATGCCTGGGTTTGCCCGGTAGTCTAGTCTGCACGCACAATCGGCCCTCCTCGGATTGGTTCACGGATGGACCGCCTGTCGGGGGCATGTCTGAGCGTTGCCCATGCCACGTGCAGAGCGTTCACTTCCATGTGGACTGCAGGCGGCGCCGCCCATGGGCGATCCCACCACGATCCCACCACGATAAGGCACCGTAGTGCTGCTTCCCGTGTGGCCCTCAGATGGCCCTACCAGCCCGTTTCGAGAGCGAGCTCGGTCCAAGAACATCGTGGCCCGCGGGAGGCTCCGACGAGCCACCGTCATACCGAGCCTCTGCGGGAGAGCTCGGTGGAACAGTCCTTCCGCGCAGATCGACAGAATGGACGCATCACTTTGCGGGCGGGCACACACTGGCATGGATCACGGATCCATGGACCTGGCACGTGGGCGCCAGGTCCACGGATCGGGGAAAGCATGGCGCCAGCGCCGCCTGGTTTGGAGAAGGAACGCCCCAAGATTGCGCGCAAACGGGACACGTCGCAAATTCACGCTCCCAAGTCCATGTTTGCGTTTCCTCGAACTGTGGGCTGGTCTTCACGAGAATTATCCTATCATCCCGCCCTCCCCCAATTTGTTTTAATACTGGCGGATGGGTGCAGAAAACGTGGCATTGTCCCAAGGCGATCGCCAGAATGTTGCACCACCAAGCTGCTCTGACAATATCGAATTGGGGGAGGGAGTCAGAACAAAAGCGACGCAGTATAACCGAACACCCCGTGGTGCGCCCAAGTGCCGATTCTACGCATCGTTGCAACGCTGGCGCGGCGGCGGGGTTTGCCGCAGGCAGCAGTCTCCCCGTGACGATATTGAGCAGGGCAATCTGTGAAAAGGCGATGGGGGGGGAGCTGACAGACACATCACTGGCCCGCGGTGGCAGCAGCTCCCTGGGTGGTTGTCTGGAGCCCCAGGGGCGAGCTCTGGAGGCCGGGGAGGGATCCTGGGAAAGCTGGGTGCACAGTGGGCCAGCGACACCTCGAGCAGCACCCCGAGATAAAGAACAGAAACACGGTGCCGGCCATGCCCGTGGGGGTCAGGTAGTCGTAGAACTCTCCCCAGTCCGCCCCCCCAGACAAGGCCATGAAGAGAGTCGTCATGCTGCCCTGCACTGAGCCGAAATATTGCAAAAGGGGTTCTGCCACGTGTTTGTCTCTGCCCTCGGTGCTTTTCAGGTAGGCGGCCACTGACGAGACGAAGTACAGGGAGAACATCAGGAACAGAATTGCGAACACCATCATGCTCCAGAACAAATGAAGGAGCGACCCCAGGATCGCGCTCATGATCAGGTGAAGCTGCGTGAAGACCTTGACGAAACGCAAGATCCGCAGCACCTTGGCAACTCGGAAGAGACGGATGGTGCGCATCCACGTGTTTCCGCCGCCACGCGCACTGCTCGCGGACATGGCGTCAACAAGGCTCTGGGCGATGAGGAGGAAGTCCAGCCAATTCCAAGCCATGTCCTCGTTCCAGAAGTAGAACAGCCGGTGCACTGCCAGCTTGCACACAAGCTCCACGCAGTACAAGCTCAGGAAGCAAACATCCGCGTAGCTCATCCATGGCGGGGTATTGCCATCGGGGCGAGAAACAGACGTCATGTCTCTGTTCACGCTGTAGACCATGAAAGCAGCGTTGACACCAATGGCCAGCGCAAAGAAGGTCTGGAACTGCGAGCTGCGGACGAAGCGTGCCAGGCACCACGTCCGAGGCGGCTCCTGCAAGCTCCACAGACTGCTCACGCACCTGACGACCCTCGTCGTGCACCAGCCCATGTTCGGCAAAACGGTGCTGGCCTTAGTATGTGACCAATCAGCTACATAAACATACACTTTCGAGGGCCTGCGCGGATTTCTTGCACTGGTGCAAATCCCAGAAATCTGCGCGGACCTCCGACAATCATGCTGATGCGGTTTTCTCCTGCTGGAGGCCTGGCTCTCCAACGTGTCCTCGGGCTCGTGCGCAAGGAGCTCGTACATCGCGGGGCTGTCGTTCCCGGGGCCCCACCTCTGCAGAAAGGTGCTCGACTCCGCATTCGAGCGCGACATGCCCACCTTGGAGCGGGGGGGGGGGGGGTCCTCAGACCTCCCGCCCGCCGCGGGCGAGAAGGCGTGTGAGATGTCTGGCCGTCCCCCTCCCGCCCCAAAAACAGTTCCATGCTGACTATTGCACCTACCAGGGAACCCCAACCAAACCCGAAGACCCGAATTTCGGGTTTGGGGGGTAAGGGTTCCATATGTGTGTTTTCTCAGCGTTCCCCGACCCCCCCCTCCCCACTGGAAATGGAGGGCACATGGAGGCCTTCGGGTTGGGTTGGGGTGGTTCGGTTGGTGGTGACATGTGGGGTACCTCTTGCGAGAGCGAGGGCCTTGGGAACCTCGCGTCCCAGGACTTCCCCACAGGCCACTGGAGCAGGCACATACGACAAGAGATCTTGCTGGAAAAAGGCCTCAGAGCATGTTTCCTCGATCGTTGCGCGCCATGAGGTGTCCCAGAGCTTCTGTGGGCCCCCATAGGGGCCGTCGGGGGCTACGAGTCGTCCGCTCTGCGCCTGCCGGCAGGCCGATTCCTTACCTGGCGTGCCTACAGAGCGGGCCCGCCCCGTCCCCTCCGCTGGCCCTGACGGGCCAGCAGGGATGGCCAGCACCTCGCCCGCCTCCGTGGACGAGGGCCCCTGGGCTGTCGGAGCCTCCAGAACCACCCTCCGGAGCCTCCAGGATGCAGGGCGGCTCCAACACGCAGGAGGGACACCCAAAAGCATTCGAGCGGCCCTGAGAGACCCCAGCAAGGCCGAAAGAGGTCTTACAACAGAGCCTAGACGCCAAACATCATCATAACCCCAGAAGGGTCCCAATGTGTTTTACTATCGCGCGCCCTATCGCGTCCAGACGCCTCCAAGAGGGTGTGGAAACCGTGGGAACCCTCCGTAATGCACCCAAACAGCCCAAGATACAGTACACCCAATATAGCCCCAACATGGCCCAAAGGCTCCAGAGGTTCACGGCCTCGAAGACCCAGAGCGGCCCAAGACTGACACAAGGCAGCCCCGAGACTCCCCTAACGCGGCCCCAAGACCCTTCGGTACGACCCCGAAGGAACGCCAAGATGCCAAGAGAGCCCCGAGAGAGCCCCGGAAAGCTCAAAAACTCCCGAGTGCTCCCACAAGGGCCGCAAGACAGGCCTAACACAAGTCGGGTGTTGCCAGACGTGTCCCTGGCCAAAGGTGCCCCGAGGATTTCGAAGGCCCCCGCCGTCTCCAGAGCACAGCTCACAAGGCCCAGGGGATCCCAGGGAAACCAAAGTGGAGCGAAAGGCTCAAGACGCTTGGGGAGCCTCTGGCGGGAGGGGGCTCTGATAGCAGACTATATGGCTACCGCAGTCTATGTAGATTTTTGCCGGCGAGGCGAGGCGAGGCACATGGGGCCAGGGACACATTCAGCAACCTCTAAACCCTAACCCATCCGACGTCTCCACTTCTCAGAACGGTGTCCTCAGAAGTCCTGACCGCTTCCCGACGGCCAGTTCTGCGCCCCGCACCGCTCTTGCTGACCCCGGGGCCCAGCGGCGGCCCCCCGAGGCCGAAAACCGCCGAAAGCCCGCCGCCGCAACTGTTCCGCACGCAAGAAGCCCTCGGGCGGCGGCCCGGCACCTCCATGGGCATCAGCGGCCCGGCGTCGCTGCCAGGCGCCCGGCGCCCGGAGACCGGCGGGCTCGAGTCGCTGTCGCCCCGCGACCGCTGGCGGCCGAGGCCCGCGGAGCGCCGGCCGGCCGGCCCCAGCACCACGCTGGCGGCCGAGAGCTCCGCCCGGATGACCTCCTCGACGTCCGACCTGAGCAGCAGCCGGAGCTCCTCGCGCGACGAGCAAACCTGGTCCTCCTCCTCCTCCTCCTCCTCCTCCTCCTCCTTTTCCTCCTCCCTCTTCCTGCTCCTCCTCTTCCTCCTCCTCCTCCTCCTCCTCCTCCTCCTCCTCCTCCTTCTCGTCCTGGTCCTGCTTCTCCTCTTCCTCCTCCTCCTCCTCCTCTTCCTCCTCCTCCTCTTCCTCCTCCTCCTCCTCCTCCTCCCGATCGGGGGGTGGAGTGGGACTTATTGTTTTCCTCTCCCGCGTGCGTGGCTGCTCAGACTTCGTTCGCCGCCCGCAGGGCTTCGGACGTTTGCGCGTTGTCGCTGCAGGGCGCCTCCGCCTTGGCCTCAGACATCTGCTGGCGCCCGATCCTTGAGCATTTGTTTTCGGACTGGTCCAGCACCTGGGGCCGGCACGGGCAAAACACGTTACGGGATTTGGTTTCGCGATCCCATGAGACCCAAGCTCGGCTCCACGATTCGGAGCCCGCCCTGCCTGAAGTTTGCCAGTTGTGCCAGAGAGCTCGGGGAACGCTGTTTCACAGGTGCTACCAGAGCCCCGCTCACAAGGTGTGGCGCAAAGAATTTCTCCCGGCTGAGCCCAAGAAGACGGCCGCGAGGATTGCCGACAGACACGAAGGCTGGAAGGAACTATTTGCGCGCGGTGTTTCCTGAGCCTGGCCAGTGCGTGGGGCGCAAACCATTCGATCCAGCTTGGAGGCTCTTTACCACTGCAGGCGTGCAGCTGCCGATCCTCCTGGAAGGAACCTTTGCGTTCACGGACGGCTCGGGGCTGGATCAGCTCCACCCGTCATTGCGAGTTGCCGGCTGGGCAATGGTGCTCTACGATGCCGAGCGAAGGTACGTAGGGGCATTGTTCGGGCGGGTCCCGCCAGAGTTCGGAGTCTCGAGCACGGCTCGAGACGGCGAGGACTACGCAGATTCCCGGCGGAACCGGGGGAAATTCCGTGCCCGCCGGTGAGTGACTGACTGACTGATTGACTGACTGACTGACTGATTGACTGACTGATTGACTGACTGAACGTCAAGTGTGCACTTTGAACAGCACATTTCAAACCGCCCGCGGGCGCGCAACCGCAACTGGGCGACACATTTCGACCCGCCCGCGGGCGCGCAACCGCAACCGCAACTGGGCGACACATTTCAATCCGCGCGTGGGCGCGTCACCGCAACCGCAACTGGGCGACACATTTCAACCCGCCCTCGGGCGCACAACCGCAACTGGGCGACACATTTCAAACCGCCCGCAGGCGCGCAACCGCAACCGCAACTGGGCGACAAATTTCGACCCGCCCGCGGGCGCGCAACCGCAACCGCAACTGGGCGACACATTTCAACCCGCCCGCGGGCGCGCAACCGCAACCACAACTGGGCGACACATTTCAATCCGCCCGCGGGCGCGCACCAGCGCGTGGGCGACATTTTAACCCGCCCGCGGGCGCAACCGCAACCGCAACTGGGCGACACATTTCAACCCGCCCGCGGGCGCGCAACCGCAACCGCAACTGGGCGACACATTTCAACCGCCCGCGGGCGCGCAACCAACCGCAACTGGGCGACACATTTCGACCCGCCCGCGGGCGCGCAACCGCGACACCTGGGCGACGCATTTCAACCCGCCCGCGGGCGCGCAACCAACCGCAACTGGGCGACACATTTCAACCCGCCCGCGGGCGCGCAACTTTCAACTTTTCGACCCGCCCGCGGGCGCGCAACCGCAACTGGGCGACGCTGGCGACACATTTCAACCCGCCCGCGGGCGCGCAACCGCAACCGCACCTGGGCGACACATTTCAACCCGCCCGCGGGTGCGCAACCGCAACTAGGCGACACATTTCAACCCGCCCGCGGGCGCGCAACCGCAACCGCAACTGGGCGACGCATCTCAACCCGCCCGCGGGCGCGCAACCGCAACCGACACATTTCAACCCGCCCGCGGGCGCGCAACCGCAACCGCAACTGGGCGACGCATCTCAACCCGCCCGCGGGCGCGCAACCGCAACCGCACCGCTCACCTGCCGCCCTCCTCCAGGGGATCTGAGGCGGAGGAAGGGCGGGAGGGGTGAGGGGAGGGAGGAGGGAGGCGGGAAGGAGGAAGAAGTAGGGGGGGAGGGAGAGGAGACGGAGGGAGGGTAGAGAGCTCACAATGATTGGGGGCGGACAACTTCTGCCCCCCCCCCCCGTTCCACGCAAGTGGATTTCCACAAGGCTCTAGACACTGGATTCATTATCCAAGGCCTCCACGGTCTGCTAGCGGGATGGGTGGGTTAACCGCCCCCGAGGGGGGGGGGGGGCGAGGCTTTGACAGAAGCGGTCCGTTGCACCGCCTAGTTTGAAGCTGGGGGGGCGATGCCGCGGGGATCGATTGCGCGTTCGCCCGCGCGCAAGCTGCCCGCGGATGTAGGTGCATCGACACCGTCGTATTCACGCAGCCTGCCGCGTCTTATTCATGATCTGGTGCAGGAGCAGATGGGGGGGAGGGGGGGGGAGGACGAGGAGGAGGTAAGGGAGGAGGTAAGGGAGGAGCTGCAGGGCGAGGAGGAGGATGGGAAGGAGGAGGAGCAGCAGGACGAGGAGGAGGAGGAAGACCAGGATGGCCAGGAAGGGGAGGACGATGGGGAGGGGGATGCCAGGGTGGTGCTGCTCGAGAAGGTGCACGAGCAGTTGCTTGTTGCGGAGGACGGGGGAGGATGAGGTGGTGGACGTCAAGGAGGATATAGGCGTGGAATTGGATGTCCTCTTCGCGGCCTCCGGGCGTGACCCGCGGTTTTCCGCCGGGACACTGCAGCGGGGAATCACCATTCAAAGCTGCTGCTTCTGATTTGATGTGTTCCCGGCATGTGTTCGGTAGGTATGCGGTGCGTGCCGACTGCAAGAGCACTCTCAGCTGCTGCCGATCGGTGGCCACGTCCACCAGCCCTTGCAACCCGCGCGCCCATGGGTGGCGCAGAGTTCACAACAGGGAGGATTTTGCGGCCCGGCCCTTCGACCACGTCAAAACCCACACGACGGTCTCAGACGTGGAGCGCGAGCAAATCTCCGAGTTCGACCGCGATGGTAACTCGGCGGCGGACCGATTTGCGAAAAAAGGGGCGGCTGTGGGCAGGTCTTTGGAGTCAAATGTGCAGCTGGTGGAAGGGTGCCAGCTGATAGCTCGGCTGGCATGCACGTTCTCGGCTAGTCTTTCGGTCTTGATGGGGGGCCCCACAAACACGAGATCCTGTGGGTGTTGATTATTATTAAAGGCGGTCGAGTTAGGGCTTTGCCCACCAGGGCTTTTTGTTGAGGACATCCCTGAGGCTGACCCCACTTCCTGCTGCTGCTGCTGCTGCTGCTGCTGCTCCCCCTCTGGGCCCTGCCTCAGTAGAGCCCGAGTGTATAGTCAGCCGTGGTGTGCAGCCTTGGAGGGTCAACAGGCGTTGCAGCGTTCAGACAGCTGTGCCTGATGACGAGCTTATCATTTACTGTATCTCTTGTTGGCAGTATGCCACCACCCCGATGCAGCGGGGCCTCACGGGCCAGTGCAAGGGTTCGAGACCTATCAAGGGTGGTTCGACATTTACTGTGAGCAAGAGGCTGCGGGATGGATATCATCCTTCGAAAGACCCCCTTGTGCCGATTGTGTCCAGCAAGTCCCCATCGGAGGTCCCTCGTGCGCGTTTCGCGCGGCATTTCGGTGAGGGCCCCGAGGGGGCTCCGGTCGGGCCTGCGGCTCTGAGGGAAGTCCCTTTCTCGAAGCAGCCCGTGGCCCCCAGGCTCGGGATTGCTTCTGTGGTGCTCGCGTCTGGCTTCAGCAACAGAGCTGAGGCAGAAGAGCTCGGTCGGAAGGTCATTGCGGACCGGGCCGAGGCTGAGGCCAGACAGGCCGCGGGAGCCGATCTTGAGGCCCGAGGGTGAACTTCGGGGGGGGGAGGCCTGTCGGCGGGCCCAGGCAGGGCTGGTCATCCCCTGCCTGGGAACAAAAAGTTCACCTTTGATGGGCGTCCCCCACCCGGTTGTCCCTCTCTCCTCTTGGCCTTTTCCCTCTATGGGCAGTGAACCTCCTCCTCCTCCTCCTCCTCCTACTCCTCCTCCTACTCCTCCTCCTCCTCCTCCTCCTACTCCTCCTCCTCCTCCTCCTCCTTCTCCTCCTCCTTCTCCTCCTCCTCCTCCTCGGTGGGGGCAAGTTTCGGCACCCGCAGGCCCTCGCCGTGCCCCAGGATCGCCCAACAAAGACGGCTCGGGATGTCGACGGCTGGGCGTCGTGGCGACCCAGGCGATGCTTTTTATGACACTGCGTGGACCGGCCAATCTTGGACGAACCACGCGGCCCTTCGATCGCCAGGTCTTTCCACGTTGGCCGAATCTTGGCCACTGGCGGGCCGCCTGTGGCACAGGATCGGCAATGGCGGCGCTCGGCCTTGAACGCCCGCGGCGGGGCCGCCACCGCGACGCCACGACACAAACCTGCCATAGATCCACGACCACGGGTTCCCAGAGCCCAGCCACGGGCCGCATGGGGAGCGGTGAATGCGCGTACGCGTGTGTGTGTGTGTGTGTGTGTGTGTCTGTGTGTGTGTCTGTGTGTGTGTCTGTGTGTGTGTCTCTGTGTGTGTCTGTGTGTGTGTGTGTGTCTGTGTGTGTCTGTGTGTGTGTCTGTGTGTGTGTCTGTGTGTGTCTGTGTGTGTCTGTGTGTGTCTGTGTGTGTCTGTGTGTGTGTGTGTGCGTCTGTGTGTGTGTCTGTGTGTGTGTCTGTGTGTGTGTCTGTGTGTGTCTGTGTGTGTCTGTGTGTGTCTGTGTGTGTGTGTCTGTGTGTGTGTGTGTGAATGTGTGTGTGCGTGCGTGCGTGCGTGCGTGCGTGCGTGCGTGTGTGCGTGCGTGCGTGTGTGCGTGCGTGCGTGCGTGCGTGCGTGCGTGCGTGCGTGCGTGCGTGCGTGCGTGTTCGTGTGTGTAAGTATGTGTGTAAGTATGTGTGTAAGTATGTGTGTAAGTGTGTGTAAGAGAGTGTG